TGTGAATCTGGGCTCTTCTGCGTGTGTCTGTGACACGAAGGTGCTCGTCTCTCTTGGCTTCCTGGTCTTTGTCAGCACAGTTCAGTCACTGCCTCTCCTGAGTGGGTGCCGCGAGGATTCGGTGAATGAGCAAATACAAAACGTTGCATCTGGCACCTGAGGACCTCCGTACACGCCAGTTGTTTTTATACCCAGCGCGAGTGGCTTGGAGAGGAGAGGTGCAGGTGCCACGGGGAACACGCTGCCAGGGGCGTGGGAGTGTTGTCATCCCAGCACACCCATCTGTGCGCGCTCACTGCCAGGGGCACCCTGAAGGCTGGAGTGTGGATTTCAGGAAGCGATAGAATTCGTGAGGGCAGTTCTTCTGTCCAAGGAGGGCTACTTGGAATCAGACCTGGGGAGCTATACATTTTATTTTGGCTTCTGTAGAGAAATGTCGAGAAGGAGCATGTAATGTTTTCCTGTCTGTCCGTGCCACAGGTTTTGGTGGGCACAGCAAGGGCAGGGACTGTGGATTCAGGGCGCTCTGCCATTTCTCAGGAGCTAACATTACATGGGGTACTGATTGGGATCATTAGAGCCACCCCCCCACACACACACACGATCACCCCGTAGCTGAAATGCTTGGGAATTTCTCCCAGTTTGGGTGGAGTGGTTACAAGGGTCACTGCCTGCCTTCACCTTCCAGACGTCATCCTGTATGAGCTGTGTGACCCTGGGCAGCTCGCTTGTCCTCTCTGCCTCCGTGGAGGTTACAGAATTAAGCATCTCATAATGTTGTAAAGATTAAGTGAGATAGACATGCCAGGTGCTCAGTGTGTGGCACATAGTAGCTGCTGGGTACATGTTTGCTGCTGTTACTATGATGATGATGGTGGTGGTGATGGTGCAAGTGATGATGGTGATGGCAATGGTAGCATGATGATGATGGATATGATTATGGTGATGATGGTGATGATCGTAATTATGATCATGGTGATAGTGATGGTGGTGATGATGGTGATGGAGATAGAGATGGTGACAGTGATGATGGTGATGATGGTGATGTTGGTGATGGAGATGGTGATGATGATGGTGATGATAGTAATTATGGTATGGTGATGGTGATGGTGGTTATGAAGGTGATGGAGATAGAGATGGTGATGGTGGTGATGGTGATGGAGATGATGATGGTGATGAAGACAATGATAATTATGATCGTGATGGTGGTGGTGATTATGATGATGGAGGTGGTGATGATGGTGAGATGGTAATGATGGTGATTATGATGATGGAGATGGTGATAATGATGGAGATGGTGATGGTGATAGTGATGATGACGGTGATGAAGGCAATGATAATAATTATGATTGTGATGATGGTGGTGATGATGATGATGGAGGTGATGATGGTGATGACAGTGATGATAATGACATTTATTATCCTTGTGATGATTTGCGGCTTTGTTGTGGAGTCATCCGAGGAGGTCATTTGATGAGGTTCCATGTCCTCACCCCTGACCTTGTGCCTCATGCAGAGGCACCGATGCTCCAGAAGGAGCCGCTGGGATGGAAAATCACCCCGCGCAGCCCTCCGGGCGCTGAGCCCAGCCACCCCTGGTGCCGGCGGAGGGTGAGTGTCAGGTGGGCTCGTTCACTGGAGGTGGAGGGAGGACTCCCAGAGCGCAGCGCCCCCTCCTGTGACTGCTCTCTTGCTGGCCATGTTCTGAGTCTGTAATCACCAAGTCTCCTGGGAGGAAAATAGAAAGTCATTACTGGGCTTTAATCTCACAGCTCGTAAAGGGCGCTGCGGGGAAGGGCAGCCAGCTGACTGCCATTACTGCCGTCGCCCACTGCGGGGTCTCCCAGCCTGGTGCTCGGGGACGGCCTGTGCTCAGGACGCCTGCCTGGCCCTGGCATCTGAGACTCTGCCTGCCGGTGCGGGGGCCGCAGACGCTTCTACCTGCTCAGACCCACCTGGCACGTTCCTCAGCTGCCCCTGCTCTCAGCGGGGGGAGGGAGTGTGCCACCCAGGGGGGACGGTGGAGCTCTGAGGTCTCCATTGTCACGCAGGGTTGGCTCCATTCAGGATCAAGCTGGTATTGGTGACGCCCAGCAGCTCGAAGGGGCGGGGCTCAGCTGTGACCTCAGTCCTGCCTGGTGCTTCTCACACTGGGACTCACTCACGAGTTCCCAAGGATGATGTCCGAGTTGCTTTGTCCTTGTCACCAGGGGGCCTTCTGTGTCCTTGGGTTGCGTCCCTCCATCAGCATGAGGGACAGCTGGTGCCCTCTTCTCTCGCCCCAGTGGTCACCTGACCTGGACAGCAGAACAACCTGGGGAGCAGGTCTCGTGATGATGATGCGTGTTTCGAGGGACAGGATTGGGCTGGGAGGGAGAGAGGGGCAGTGGAAACGCTGAGCCCCTTCCAATTAATGTGCTGGTGTTCGCTGCCAGGGCAGTGAAGCCGTCCTTGATTTAAAGATACAGCATTTGAAGCAAATGACTCATGAACTTCAGCAGTTTTGCGTGGCTTCGTTGGGACAAGAGCGTCCACGCGCATAAGCATGCGGAGCTCCGAGACACATCCTGACCCCTGTCGGTGGTCAGGCTGGCCCTGGGGTCTCACCTGGGACTTCCGAATGGAGGCCGCGTGGCTCCTGCTGCCGGCTGTGGTTTTGGTGGGGAACTGTGTGGTCACAGGCCAGGTCGTTGTGTCTGCCCTCCTCCCACCCCGCCCTCTGGCCCCGTCCAGCCTCCCCAGGCGCCCGTCTGCTTCTGCTGAGCACAGCTGTGCGCACAGCAAATGGATAAGTGAGCTGCGACTCATTAGAGCAGCCGCGGGTTCTCTGCTGATGACTCGATCCTGCCTCCTCTCATTTCCCGTCACAAGCTGCCTGCTCCGACTTATTGCATTTGGTGCTTCTTGCTGTCTCCGCTCCCCCAGGGCCTAGTTCTCCTCCTGAGAGCAGGGAGGGGCCTGCGGGCCTTTCATTCCTGCGCAGCCCCTGCCCCTGAGGTGCTTTTGACCTGGGGGCTGCCTCTCTCACTCTCCTGGTCCTTCCCTCTGCCAGGCCCCCTCCCTCTGCCAGGCCCCCCAGAGCTGCAGGAGGAGGCCT